TAAATGTGATTTGTTTTCTTTCTCTTACAGGTATTTTCTTTTTACTCTGTACTGTTAATTAATTTCCTCGTTTTGTAATTAAATATGTTATATATAATATGTATTAAACTATTACTTGAAATAAATATGTTGTAATTAGTGTAATTAATAAATATATGGGTCTAATTAATATATTTTAATTTTATTTGCTGTTTTATTGAATAATCTCTAATACAGAAGGAATTTATCGAAAACTTTTCAGCAAAAGTTAAATTTTAATTTATATACATAAAAAGACAATTCAAGCAATAAATTTCTACTATTTTGCCAAAAAAAAAGTTAACCAGAGCGTATTTAGATCATTTATTGAATAGTCTTTGATATTAAATGTGATTTATTGATGAATTATGCAAAAATTTTCAACAAAAGTTCGATTTGGGTTCATGTATGTGGGAGGATTTTAACCGAAAAAACGTAAAAAATAACAAGTAGTTATTTCTTGGCAAAAATAAAGCAAGCGGGAGCTCTTTATATCATTTGTTAGTTTATCTATATCATCAGTTATCATTTATCAATGAATTAAGCAAAAATATTTGGCAGAAGTTCGATTTTGGTTCCCAGTCAATCGACAGGTAGCTATACATGGGTTTTTTTTGGGAACTAAAATCGAACAATAGGACAAATTTTTCGCTAATTCATCAGTAAATGACAACTGATATGGATAATTAATGAATAAGTGATAAGAACTAGCTGCGGCTTGCTTCATTTTTGTTAAAAAATGACTATTTATGGTGTTTTTTACGTTTTTTCGTTCAAGGTTGACCCACGTTTAGGAACGAAAATCGAACGAATCGTTCTGAAAATCGAGTTGAAAAATTTTGCTTAACTGCTCGATTCGTTCGATTTTAGTTCATATACGTGGGTCGATTTTAGACGAAAAAACATAAAAACAGAATACATAACCATTTTTTTACAAAAATAAAGCATGCCACAGCTAGTTGTTATCATTTATTAATTAATTATCTATATCAGATAACATTTACTGGTGAATTAGCAAAAATTTTGTCCTAATGTTCGATTTTAGTTCCCAAAAATAACCCATGTATAGCTACCTGTCGATCGTTTTTGGGAACTGAAATCGAACTTCTGCAAATTATATTTGCTATATTCAACGATAAATGATAACTGATGATGTAGATTAACCAATAATTGATATAAAGAGCTGCCGCTTTCTTCATTTTTGCCAAAGAATTATTATTTATGGAGTTTTTCACGTTTTTTCGGTTAAAATCCACCCACGTATATGAACTAAAATCGAACTTTTGTTGAAAATTTTTGCTTAATTCATCAATAAATGATATTTGATATAATAAATTAAGCAAAAAATCTTTGTAGAAGTACGATTTTTATTACTATATATGGGTAGATTTTAACCGAAAAAAATGCAAAAAATTCAATAAAATTTGATGATTTGGCAAAAATAAATCAAACTAAAGCGTATGTAGATCATTTATTAAGTTAACTTTAATATTAGATGTGATTTATTGATGAATTAAACAATCCAAAGTATTAAATTTTAGTGAAGGCGGTAGACACGGTAAAGTCTAATGAAACTTCGAAAATCGGAAATTTGTATTAGGAGAGCATAAGATGCTTGAGAAATCGACAATTTGCCGGGCAAATTTTATTGTTATTATTGTTGCTTAAAATTTAGTAGCTGTCTGTAATACAGTTGAAATCTGTAAATCAGATATAATATTTTTGACTATCGCCCGTAAGATGGCTCTTTAGATACGTGAAATACGAAGGATATCCTATGATTTCTTAACTGTAATATAAGAGATAATCGGAAAGTTTTAACAGAAAATATTTAATTTCTAAAAATGGTCTAATGTGTTAATTTATTGCAGTAATGGGTCAATTTTGGTTGTTGTTTATTTAAATATTATTGTCAAAAGAAATATATATTTCACTCAAAACAAATAATTTGATATGTTGGAGCTAGCAATGCGTACACCGACCTATACAAGCCAAGGGGCCTTAAATGTAGTATAGATATTGATGAATATCTAATACTTGCTAGAGGACATAACCAATAGAAGGGATGTTTATAATAATACTGGCCAGAGCAAAGTGTTTAAATACACCGAAATTAAGTCATTTTATCTGTTATTGAACCGTTTTGTTGAAGCACTTTTAAAGTAAGATTTTTGTTACCACCTGACATTAGTAAATAAATAAGGACTAAGGATATTTGAAAAACATTTTTGCATTTTATTTTTCATGGAAAAGAGGAAATCTTTAAGACATCCAGGCTGTCCGTACATCTGGTAGTTAGATTCGCTTCGAGGAGGATTTAGCTACTAAAACCCTCTACCTCAGATCGTTTTGGGGCCAATTAGAATATTGTTAAGTCGATTTTGTCGTTTTAAAAATGTTAGTTTATGACAAACTGTCTCTTCGAGATTAGTGACATTTCTTTGTTATAAATTAAAAAACAGAATAAATTATATAGACACTACATTTAGAAATCTTTAATAAATAAACCGTAAACAATATTATCAACGTACTAAATCTCAAAAAAAAATGCAAGTAAAAAAGTAAAGTGATTTCAACAAGTTTTTCACAAAAACAAACTAAAGCTAAAAGTGAACCTACATATAAAGTAAACCAATAACACTTGTATAAATAATATGAACACATTCTATATAAACCAAAAACTAAATTTCTAAAACATGTATATGTACTAAAATGTAATATATTTTGTTCAAGAATGCAAAGTTCGTAAATCAAAAGAAATTTTATAAATTTACATTTCAACAAATGTGATAATGGGGATGATATATACTTTATATGTTAATAGAGTATAAGAATTAGTTTTGAAATTTTTGCAGCTTTTAAAATTAATTGAAAATGTTAAATATAATAATGTATCTAATTGTTACAAATCAACTTATAAACAATTAGAAAATGTAATGTAATATTTACGTATGAAGTACTTAAATCGCTTGCAAAAAATTAACGTATATTTATTGATTAGATACATATTTTATTTAAAATACTAAAATTCATTATATAAATGTGTATAAAAATTAACTATTCACCATTTGGGGTGTTCATAAAAGCTCTGCGTTTATAAATAGTCAAGCACACAATGTTTTGCGTATATGTTCCATAATAATCCTTTCACTAATTGCAAAAATCACACTAATCCTACCATAAAATTCACTAACCATGATAAATCGTGTGAAAAATATGGAATGGCAGTACGTATTAAGAATAAGATACAATAATTACGATTTATAAAAAAACATTTAATGTTATTTTTTCGAGAAAGTAAAAACTTCGTTTTTTAACAAACCAATAAAGGTAACTTGCACATAAAATAAATTTATCTAAAGTAAATCACAATTAAAACCTATAATCATTAGCACCATCACCATTTGGATAGTTATGATGTAGAGATAAATCTAAAAACGAATTTTTTTAGCTAAGAAATAATAAACACATATGCAGAATTTTTCAAATAACAATAACTACAATATAATAAAAGATTACCAATTATTAACATCATTTAAAAAAATAAAAAATGTTTTTAAAAATTTGATTAAAAGCGTATAAAACAATATAAAATATTACACTTTGGCACTGAAAAATCAAATATTAATAAAAAAAATCGATGCAAAGAATGAGAATCTTAATAATAAATACATAATAAAACTCTTATCATTTTAATCTTCAAAGTTCCTTTTGTGAATATGAGTAAAGTTCCAAAGTCAATAATACATTTCTCCAAGAATAAATTATTTGTCAATTGATGTCTATTAAAATTTTAAGATTTAATTAGAATTCCACTTTTTGAAATATTAACTGAACTGAGTCAGGCACTTATTCTTAAGAATTACTTACAAATAAAATCAATCTTTAATTCAATTCCCTCTCACGGACTACTGAGTTTAAAAAACAATTAACTATATTTTTTATTTTATGCAAAAGAATAAAGGATTAGCTAATATAAGTATAACTATTAATGTAAAATGCCTTTTTACTCCTTTCATTTCCAATCGTCAGCTGTTGACTTCAGTCTATTTGTGACTGTCTAGACTTTAGATCACAATGACACTAGATAATTATCGAAAAATGCTTTCTAAGTCTCTAGAAGCAATAAATTATTATTTAGGAGTTACATAGGTACTTAAAAACGCTAAGCAATGAGTTCACACAAAAAAATTGTCTTTGTATGATATGGAATTGTTTGATTATAAAGATTGCTATTTAAAATTATTGCACCTTAATACTTAGCCTGTAAGAGGTTTCTTAAGAAGTAAATTTGACCAAAAAACTACTTAATATTGTTCTTGAAAATTAGTTTGTATAGTTTTAATGTACTGAAACGCGTATTTATGCGATACATATTAAATAAAAATGTTTATGAAGCCTACTAAAATCTTATTCTTTCGCCTTTTATGAAAGATCGCTTTAAAGTACAATTTAGTACTTTTCACTCTGGGACAATGGGTGCTTCTCCAATTCCTCCAGCAAGATTGTATACTGCTCTGGCTACTTCGGCAGTAAGTTTGTTAACTTGTTCCTGGGTGGCAGCCTCTGCATAAACCCTTACGATGTCCTCAGTTCCAGAAGATCTCACGAAAGATCTGGCTTTTTGATATTTAGATACTAATTTGTCAATTTCATCTTGAAGGCCTACAGGAGTAACACATTTCCTTTCGGCGTCAGAGGTAGATATAACGTTTCTGTCCTTTATAAAAATAAAATATGTAAATAAATCCGTGTAATAAGGAAACACAATGTTTATTTTTATATAGATATGTAAATTGATTATTATATTATGACTTTTAGTAAAGGAAACGTGATGTTCAAAAATATTTTTATTCTCAATTAATTAAATAAAGTGTTAGATATTTGTTTTTCTTACTTTTACTGTAACTTTCATAAGTTTGTTTGGTAGATCGGTGTAAGAATTTTCCCAGTCTTTTAAGTCCCATCCTCTGTCACATAATATGGTTTCAACAGCCAATAAATCAGCAATAGCATCTCCTACAGTCTCATTTATGACATCAATGAAAGCCAATAACTTTTCTACAGCATATTTTTGTTTCTCGCCAGTTCTATATTGAAAAATAAAATAGAGTAAATAAAACACAAATTAAAGGATTATCTCTTACTCTGGATCCTTAGCGACTGAACGTAGTTTATCTTTGGCATTCTTACTGAAGACAACAGTTCCATGTCCATTGGCCTCGAAATAGATACCAATATCAAACTCAAGAGCTTTGTGATGTAAGTGTTTCACACCAGTTGAGACACACGCAACAGGTACAGACTAAAATAAAATGGAAATAATTTAAAAGTATGATTGCAGAAATAAGTTGTTTCATTTTCAATCAATTTCAATTCAATTTAAAATTTATTAAAGAAGAAAAGCAGCTATTTCAATAGACATACAACATCGACACATTTTTATTGCCTATCAAAAACGTATATTTCTTTAAATCACTTACCAATTGTTTTTTAATATATTCAGTGGAGGCACCGTTGGCATATGCTGTTTGTACTAAGCCTAAATTTAAATCAACTCCACTCTTTTCCACCCATTCTTTAAGATAACTCGCTATAAGTGTTGCAATTCTATCTCCGTCAAATAAGTGAAATTTGCCATTTTCGTCGTTGAAATAGTACACAATTCTGTCTGCATCTCCATCCACAGATGCACATCTTACGTTTGGATCAATTGGTAAACCTGTTGGATATGCCTGATTGGTTTTTACATAGTCTGCTCCACACTAAAAGAGAAGTCACTTTTTTTAAAAAGAAAACAACAATTTATGAGAAAATATTTTTTAGAAAATTTTACAAAACAAGAAAACGACAGTTTGCAAAAAAAAAGGAAAGGGACAATAGCTTGAAAATATGCAGCACATCCAAACTCTTTCATAGTTTTTTTTTTATACTTAGTATAAAACAGTGACGGTTGTTCACTTATGCCACTCAGAATATTATAATTAACTAATGAACTGAATTAAAAAGAATTATGTAGATTTTTAGATTAGTTTTGTAATAGACGAATATTTTATAGGTAGAGTGTATTTTTGTTTCTAGTTCTTTCAAATGTTTTTCATTAATCATTAAATTTCTAATAAGAATTCAATATTCAATAACTGTATTTAGCAAAAAAAAAGGATTTTGAAAACTCACCAAATAATTTAGTTTACCAGTTCCAATACCTGCATCATTGTAGAGTTCAATATTCATACAATCTTTCAGCCTTTCTTGGAAGAATTTTATCTTTTTAGCACCTACTCCATTTGCACCGTCGTAAAATAATCGATTGACGTAATTCCCATTTTCACAGTTTTCGCCCCTGAGTTTCTTGAAAGCAGTCACTAGTTTCTTGTAGTACCCCTCTTCTGTGGCTGTGCCATATTCTTCATGAGAGTTTCTACAAGCTACAATATAATGTAGCTGAGGTGTTGTAACAATACCGAAGTCCACAGGCTTTCCTGACAGTGCCAAAATGCCATCCATAAGAGATTTTGCTAAACTAGGACTGCTTGGTCTACAGAAACATTTTTAACATATTTTGTTTTTTTTTTTAATTTTTTTTTCTATTGTTACCTTGTGTCTTTTCCTATATAAATAACACTTCTGTCAGTCATTGGAATGTTGAATTTATCAACTATTTCGTTTATAATTGCTTCCAGTTCATCATCCCTATAAATCAAAAATTAGCAGAATAATAAGACCACTTTAGATGCATTTATATTATAATATTTAGAACAATCTTTTTATTTTCTCTAAATGAAGACACTTACTGCACATTTGCAAACTTGGTGGCCCATTCTTCCCAACTCTGTTCCATCATCTCTCCATGTGGATCAATTAATTTCACACCATTATCACCTTCAGGGTTATGAGAGGCTGTTATCATAACACCAATTATTCCTAAAACATTAACAAATGAGTACTGCTTATTTCTTTTAATTGTTCTTTTTACCTTTCTTATATCTTGCACGAAGAACAGACAATAATCCCATTCTGTACATAACATAGCCTAAATTGGAAGCTCTGAAAAATTATAAAGCAATCAACGAAATTCCTATTTGACATGGTTTAATATAATATATTTTTCATTTTAATATTATTCACATATTTTGCTGCAGTGTTCTTAACCTCACTTTTAAGAATAAGTACAAAGAAGTATATAATTGAGCTTACTTGTCTCGAAATCCGGCTGTCCCATATTGTATATCTCTTTTAACAGTCTTGGGGTGCATTTCTCTTGCAAAAGCATATACTGTCCTGTATGAACTTGGCATTTTGGTGAGATTTATGGCAGCATATGGCACTGGTGAAAGGGTGAGGAGTGTAATAAGCATATAATAAGCTAATAAGTGGTAAAGTGGTATGGGAATGACTAATAAAAGAAACTCAGACAAGCCCATTACAATTCAATTATCTTAAATTGGCTTTCACTCTTACAATTAATTGATTCACACAAAACGTTTCGGCGTAAGGATTCCGAAAATAATTTTATTTTATATATCTACTTACCTAGGTATTTCGTCTTGTTTTTTTTTTATTGTTTTAAAGTTTTTAAAACCTATACAAGTATAACAAATTAGTTAGTGCATAATAATAGAATTTATTTCAATACGATACAAAAATAGGATGATACCAAATATTTTGCCAAATTTTCCTGAATTTTAAATACAGGTCTTAGAACTTTTCGATAGTATGCAACCAGGTGTATATCTCTGCATGCGGAGTTGCATATCTTGGAAATGTTTCTTTTCTTTAATATTCGAATCCATACGTAGAATAATTGGCAAAAAAGGCCAAACAAAATTTAAAACGTCTTGTATTTTTTTTTTCTTAATAATTTTGGATTTTCCAAAGTGATACATGCAACTATATTTCTTTATATCATGCACAATCAACATTGTTGTATTGCTGAATTTTAATTTTGTTTTCAAAATTTCTGCTGTAATAACAATACGTGTATGTTAATAATTATTTTATTTTGAGTCACAGGATTGATTGTGTATGATAAAATTATGTTATCTTTTTTTACACAACATTAAAATTCATTTCACTCATAACAACCATAATACACTTTGGGATTTTGAGCTAGATTACTAATGTTAATGACGAAATTAATTGATCAAAAGATAAAAAGATTTTTAAAATGGGGTTTAAAAATGTACCCGGTAATTTGTTACTATACTAACGCTGATACTATTCCCTGATGCCTCACTACAACTTTAATGCATTTTGGTTTTTTAGTTTGTTTAGTGGGAATTAATTTGTTAAAAATTAAAAACATTCTTAAAAGTTTACCCTGGCAATTTTTAACAACAAAATCCTTTTTATTGACGTTTCGCAACATCTTTAGTACATTTTAGGACCTTCAGCTTGATTAATACCGACTAAATTAATTTAAAAATAAAAACGCTTTATATTTGAAAGTGCACCCTGGTAATTTCTAACACAATTCTGTTTAATGATGCTTTACAACAAGTATAATAGATTTTGGTTCTTCAGCTCGTTTAATATGGAAGAAATTAATTAGCATTGCCCATACAACTGCAAATACAAGGAAATTTTGGATAAAATCATCGAGTGAGGAGGCATCGGGAACCTCTACTGCTGTAGTTACATATACATTAAAACATGACGAAAAGCATTGCTTAATTTGTTACAGTTTAACAGATTTATATTTATTTTTAAAAAATCTACAAAGCCCTTAAAATAATACATCTTTATCTATGATGTATATATATGTAAGTCTTCTATACAAATCAAAATGGACGGAGTCTATGGACGTTAAAAAACTTAATAAGCATTGCAAATAACTTACTTGAATATGCTTAGGTATATAAATGAGATTACAATTAGGTACTAATCTTTGAATGAACGAGTAACATACGATCACTTACGTGCTATTACCTATCGCATAGATAAGTAACATTAAAGGTATAATTTGTACGGTAGTGACAATTTGTTGTTTGATAAATAATTTAATAATAGTTTTTAAAAACTTTAAAAAACATTAAATCTACCACAATAAAAATAAGAGCAAGTGAATAAAGAAACGGACACTAATAAAAAAAAATTACGAGATTCTAAATTGAGTATTAACAAAATTTTATAAATACAC